ACGTGCACTTCACACGGGCACAAGCAATTTGCCAAACGAAGACCTCATCATTAAGACAAAGAAAATTGTCTGTTGCAGCCGGGGACACGCGCGCGCACCCTCGCCCCTTCGCGAGCAGCTCATTTCCCATTATGTAAACAGACTTTCACCTCCGTGGCTTACCAATCAGGCTGATTTCCTCGGCAAATTAACGCCGCCATCCAAACAAACTGGGACACTCATGCTTTTTTCTTCCCTTCTCCCCTCTCTGTCCCTCCTCTACTTTCCCCTCATATACATATACATTTATATCTGTATAATATAAACCTTGGGATGAGTCGCCAAGATTGCGCGACTGCAGCATCAGGGCCAGTCTCCGGACTGAGTGTACACAAGACGGCAAGCTGCCGAGCCAAATCATTTTGTCGCGCAAACATTTGGCCGGGCCTATCGATTACCCCCATCTCTGGTGAGACATCGCCCCTGTCTCCCTTGGTGTAATGAGGAGTCATCTACAAACAAATTTCCATGACCCGGCTCAGGTGTAATTCGTTTCCCTTGATGTGTCACTCCATCATGCTGCTAATGTATATTACACTCACCAACCGCCCCCCCTACACTACACTGCACTGCAACCAGCGACCACCAAGTAAAGATAGTCTGACTTATGGAAGATGAAATTTGAAGACTACAGCAACTCTTAGAGAATTGAATGTTCACTGAAGATTGTAATACTCGATCAAAATGTGCCACTTGTGTAAATCCTTCACGAGATGGAATTTTGAAATTGTACATCAAAAGGAGCATTCCACATAGTCATAGAAATATTACAAATTTGCTTGAAAGAAAAGTAAATATTGAAAAAGCTTGCCATGCCCTACCATGTTTACATCATGTTGCAAAGTTGACCCCTCCCCCAAACAAAGTAACTGATAACAGGAAATCAAAATTGGGATTTCCAATTAGGCCGAACTCTTTGATATATCACATTTCTGGAGGGAAAAGGAGATCAGACAAAAAAAGAGAGATAAAGAAAACTGAAGGAAGAGGCAACTTGGCAGGAAATGGATGAGGAAGATGGAAGAACTGGGGAATCAAGAGCCGACTCCATGGAGATAAAGCACCAGAAGATAGGATGAAGGGGAATGAGAAAGTGATGTGATTAATAAAATGCCATATGAACAGCACTCTGCACTCTACCTCCCACCAAAGTCATATTAAAAACCATAATTTGGTCCCCATCTGTACGTGCTCTACAAAATATTTCTAAAATTTCCATTTCCTTGGCCAAACACTCTAGGGTCCAAGGTACACACCTTATCTTGGAGACTGGTGTTTTTAAGTAAGTAATCCATTAGCATAGTTTTTTTCACTGTTTTTTTATCCATGAAGGAAAAAAAGGAACCAATTCCAATACAAGACCGCTGTGTGGTGAGATCTCTTGACTGTGGAGTTTGGTGTTGTCGGCGACGGCTTATCCGTCAGAGAGCAAAAGCCGACAGGGACAGAAAGTTGTTCATTAATTAATGGCACCAGTTGCCGGCTGTGCCGTGTTTACTGAGTGCTGCATTCTCATAGTGTGTGTGTTTGGGGGGGGGAGCATGGTGAGTGGAGACAGTGAGAGTTCTTGGATGGGCAAAGTACTTCTTTGAACTTTAGAGTCAATATCTAAGCTCGTTTGGGGTGTAAGGAATGGAGTGGCACCACGAGTAGCTGGGTCAAGTGAGATTTCATGTCACTCAGTGTTATTTGAGAGAGGATGCTCCTTCAGTATGAGTACCTTATTGTGTTATTTTTCTTTTCCTTCTGAGTATTACCACATGTTATTAAACATTAAAAATCAAACAGTTGTAAATCTTGATACATTTTCATGGGTCTTTCTGGAGCTGGGTATCACTTTCCCTGGTGATCAGCCACTTGCGTAACTGCTTTTGAAACCTGAAGCCACAAAGTCAGAGATAAAACTGTTTATCTACTGCACAATTCACCTGCTAACATCCCTGCTAACTAAAATAAAATAATCTTCTAGGTGTTCTGGGGAACTTCTTCAGATGCAAAAGCAGTGGTTTTATTTTTAATTAACTACATCGTTCTGTGAAGTTTTGCTTCATGTACAGAAAATTTGGTTTGGAATGTGGAAAGGTTTCTGGTAACAAAACTAAAGAAATGAAACTTTTGGTACTTAACCACTACCTCCTGGGCGACCCGTTTTCGGGTACATAGGCTTTATATGCAGAGCTGGGGAGCCCGGAACTGGGACAAAAGAGTTCAGCCTTATAACAAAAGACCATGCTTAGCACGAAAGACTGAGCTGCTGGACATTACCGACATTTTTTCGCTCTCAGTTGTGGAGATAATCCAGCCTTGTTTTGAAACAGTATACCACGGTTTGAGGCATTTAGAGCGAGCGGATTACCACCAGGCACAAAAGCTCTCCGTCACCGTAGCGATGAGCCACACAGCACTGCTGCACGCTAATCTGGCCCCTATCGAAAAGAGGTCAGCAGTGCACTGTGCCAGTTTCCAGAACAAAAGAATCTTATGTAACACCACACAATCTGGGCTCTTTTTCCAAGGCTGCAGGCCTTGCTGAAATATTCAGGAGTCAATGAATTTTACCTGTCAGCTTTAGAGTAGTGCCCAAAGAGTCCTTCATTTTGGTATAAAGGGCCATTCAATTAAATGATGAATTTTTGAAGAATTTTGAAAACTGAAAATCTTGAAAATGACCTGGCATCTTATCTTGCTCAAGAAAAATCCGCCGGGCAGCATGTGGTTAATATCATACTCATCATACCCCTAGTTGGAATGTTACACCAGCATTATTGAGGTGAGCATGGCGAGTTGGAAGTGTAGCAGTGGATTGTTAGCAGACTTTAACAGTGTTGCATTTGAGTCCATCGCAAGTCCAGTCATAAGTCCTTTTACCAGGCTAGTCAAAACAGGGTGAACAGTGACAAAAGAATGCTTTTGGAGCTCATTTGAATAGCTTGTGAATTGGCTTCAGACTGAATAACTTGTGATGGACTTACAGGGACTTGCAGGGATTGTGCTCAAGCACATGTACAACACTGGACTTTATAGTGTTACACACTTAACGCTGCAACCCCAGAAAGGGCACATGTAACAGACAAAGTGGCTTTTTGAAATTTTCCATTTTACTGAAATGAAAAAAGGGAGTGATTGTTACATTTTTCATTGAAATCTAAATTTGATGAAATTTCTGCCCAGCATGTTTGGTGAGCCAATTTGTTCAGTTTAAGGGAATCCCTCTTTCTCTTCCAGGGTAAAAAATTCAGAAAAAAAGAGAAGATTTTCTGGTATTAAAAGAAATACATGCATTTTCCCTGTGCAGTGCACATCAAAATTAATTACAACTTCAGCAGGTGGCCACATGATGTATGAGATTGCATTGCGAATTCCAAGATGCCTTGGCTCGAAAAGTCTCCCCATGGAGGTGATAGGTTTTGCTCGATATCCCCGCTTCCCATGCCCCTAACATCCCACGTCGGGAACGAACAGCTTATACAATGTATCCCCAGTATGCCGCGAATCTCGTCTCGCACCAGCGGTTGATCCAGTGCTGTCTGAGCCATCCCCCGCACCCGGTGAAATTCACACCACGCAGGCTAAACAGCAGTAACGCGAGACAACCCAACATGTGTGCCATGACCGGCCATTGTTCCTGGGCCGACCATTAAAAAAAAAAAAGCTGTATCGCGAGGCTTGTTCCTCCTCGTCCTCTTACGTGGCTAATTTGTAAGGTGATCCCAGCCAGGCTGATCTTGCGATCGGTGGATTTTTTTTCCCTTTCTTTTGTCGGATGTGTTGTAAGCGGCACAGTTCCAACACAGCTCATCAGTGATGAGGGTGTATTTTCTTTCGCAACAAATTAGCCGAAAGGAGTCAGTCGGCTTTCTGTGGCTGACACGTCAGTTGGAGATTACTGAACGGTGTCACAGTCAGCATTAGGTGAAACCATTACACGCACTGAGTGATTGCAATATGAGCACAAGTAGTGCTTATGATAAAATAATGCAAATTATCAAGTCTTATTTTACTCCTTTAATAGGTGGACTTCAATTAAGTGCTCATTGTAGGTTAACGATCTGTTAACCGCTTTATATGCAGTCTCGCCATTCTTTTAATTAACCTTAATAGAGGTGACAAACATTAATCCTCCATGTATATGAAGCTTCTTCGTCAATATTAGCAAAATGTCTTTTGGCGTCACGCTGAGGCATTAATTTTTAAACCAATTTTAAAGAAATCAGTATGTGAGCTGGAAATGTGAGCAGTAGAAAGTGCTCATGCATAGACTATACAATGAATGATGAATGTCAATTATAGCAAAACCTGTTATAGAATGAACTGAAACTTGGCAGATGGCATCATTAAGCATTGACATTGTTGTATACTTTTGAATTTCTGGAAAAAAAAGTCACTAGCCAGCGGCGATCTGTGTTTGATAATGGTCGCATACCTTTAGATGGCAGATAGGCTGAATTGCGAATGACAAATGTTATGTATCAGGAGTGTCATGTACATTACAACATCAACATTTTACTTCTTGAAGCAAACTGTACCCTTAAAAATACAAAGAGTGCATTACTAGGGGTGGGGTAACTAATCATTCTCTTTCCCAGAGTTTTGTTGTAGAGTACATGTTCTTACAGTTTAAAATGGAGGGCAATTTCAATTACACCTATCATCTAAGAATTGGCATAGTTTCTCGAGTTATCTTGGCATTGAAAAAGTGGCCTCCACACGGAATATTAAACGGACAGAATTATGATGTGCCGAAAATGGTCTTCCCTGGTTTATCTTGTGTTATACCTCACTTATTGATGAATTTCCTGTCAACTTGACCTTGTCTGGATTAAACATTCATTATGCTGTATGTACTGCACCATATGTTGTCAGAAATTGATTTTTGGGTGAATATTTTGCAAGCACTGAGGAAACACTTGTAACAAGCATGTTTCTCTCTCTGTTTTTCTCTGTCTGCCAACTACTAACAGAAGATGTAGACATCTTTGGTGAATCCTACGAGATTGAGGCTACCTCAGAGTATGGCTTCCGACAGCGGTCTAACACTGCAGTACGGCTAGAGAAGCTACGCAGTGACCGGATGGCCCAGAAGAAATGTAAGCGTATCCAGTGGAAAGGCGAGGCCTACATGGAATTTCCTGGTTAGTGTTTTTTTTCCCTACAACATGTCATTGATTAAAACCACATGTAGTCACAGGCCTTCTTGCAGTAGGGCCATGCCATAAATTCAGGGTCCAGTTTTTTCTCAAGGCTTGTTCCTGTCACATCAGATTTGGTAAGTTTGGTGAGTTTAGAACACATTCTTTCATTTCCAAGAATGATTAAGCAAGGCAGATTACCAGCCAAATAAATCGAAATAGTTTGCAGTTGATTTCAGTGATATTTCTGTCAAGTTACACAGGTCAGGTGTAACAGGGCCACAAAAAGTCACAGTTTTGAATGCTCGATTTTAAAATCACACAGTAATTTATGTTATGACCTGTTAGTAGTGTTCTTGGGTATGGATACGTGTAATTGATGCATCTGGAAAGTGCAAATTATATAAAAGAAAAATCAAATATGCCTTTAATCCTTTCAGCAGGGGATCAAAAACAGAGACTGGTACTATGGAATTTTTTCAGTGACAGATTGGCCTATTCCATATGTTATTCCGTGAATCTGTTTGAGCACTTTCTGGAGTTTTTATCACAAAAATGACTGTTTGAATCTCGGGGACAATGCTGTTGTTATGCGGTCTGTGTAAAATTTGGATGAGTATAATATATGCAATCTCCTTGCCTGAAACAGAATCGCTCTTTTTCATAAATTCCTCTGTGTATGTACCATAGCATATTGAAGCAGAACAGTTGTACGTATATGATTGAAGTAGATTCCTCATTACATCCCCATTTAAAGTCCCTGGCTTTGTGTCAATGTATATTTTTTTTTGGTAGGATGTGTGTTGTGCCTATATATGCAAATAATTGCTCTGTAAATCAACCGTAAAAGCTGTGGCCAACTGATGGATGGATTAGCCACCATCAGGCAGTGCACAAACAGCTCTGTGCTGAACCAGGGAAATCATACCGTCCACAGGCCTTGTGGTATACATAAGGTCCTTTCAAACATGTGATGAGAATAAGGGGTCCCGTGCAATGAAATCACATCCATGTCATATTCGCAGAGATACATGTACATTGTGTCACATGAAATAGCATTCCAGTCACCAAATCACACAGGTGCCTGTGTGTTCGTCGCATGAATCAAGACTTTGCATTAATGCAAAGTTTGGATGATTTTCACCAGAATCGGTCATGTGAATGTATTCTGTAAAGCTTGCCACTTTTGTAATGGTACTTCTGTGTCGAAGTCCATTACGCATGCACACTTTTGCTGTTGTCATCATGCCAAATGGGAGTTCACGATACTGCCTGTTAAGTAATATTCTTGTTGCCGTCTGGTTCCATACACACATTTATAACAGCAGCAAAAGAGGGAGGGGTCAAGAACAGCCTACATTGTACTAACAGCTTTTGGTAAAATTGTAAGCACCCTTGCATCAGACATTTGGCACCAACCATGGCAGATGTGTGTTTTTTCCAGCACTTACCGTATGTGAAAAGGCCTAAAGCTACAGGGTACAGTCCACTAATTCAAGCCCCATTGAAAACAGTGTAAAATCAGCGCTGTTCAGGGCCCAATAACATGCACACCAACATCCCTGAGATTTCTGAAACACAAATGAAATTCTTGTCTGGTCACTAATTTTTCAATTTCTTTTCAATTTTTTGTGGGTTAACCAATTACATTTTGAATTATTCTAACAAAACAAAANGTGGCAACCCTCAACTTTCTCGGGCACTTAGGACCATTTTTCAACCATAGTTTTTAGCCATTCTGCTCTCATATGAAAGCTCAAAGACCCAGCAGAGTTGATCCAGGCAACGATTTACACAATCTCACCAATTTGGGGGCCAAACAATCTCCTCTTTCAAAAGATACTGTGGGGGGCACTTTTAATGCTAATGAGCTGGCCAGGAATTCTCACTTGAATTAGTGGTCTGCACCCTTCAAGCATGGGATACGTGACCTTTGACCTCTGGTTTCTGGTCAGTGGCTGTCACACATTAGTTTCATCTTTCAACGCAATGCGAAGAGTTTCCAAGTATTCGTGTTGTGCAGTGATCCTTCCATTCAGATTCCCGTTCAGTTTCAGTCATACGATCATCTGACTCTACATTGTAGGTATCATACCAGTATGTGCACTGGTACCTGTCGTAGACTCTGTCCTATGTCTTGACTACATCTGGCAATCAAACACAAGTCCATGGAAAATGACTGCATCCTCTAAGGTAAAAGCTTTCATAGAAGCACATGTTACTCCAAGCCGTAGCGAAGTGTGTCGGGCACAGCCTTTGACCTTTCAGAGGTGGCTCCTTTTTGAGCAATTATGTCTTCACATTTGAAGTAAGGTGTAGTGCTCCTTTAATTTGGATCTTCCAGGCTGTAGCCTGACTGCCACTTTAAGGCGTGACCTCTAGACTCCTGCAGGTCCCTTTGTTTTTGTTAGCATTTCCTGCTGATTGCCTTGCTAATTAACCCCAGCAGCAGGTGTGCGCTGGGCTAATTAGACAGCTAGTCACGTCCAGCCCAAGCCTTCAAAATGGAAAACCTTGTTTTGGAGGCATGCTGGACTGTGGAGGTACCCCCCTACATATGTGCAGGCATGCTTCTACTACTTTTAAACCCATCTAGCCAAGTTATGGTATGATCCTCTGGTGAGCAGTCATAACAGTCTTCTTATATGGAGACTGGTGTGCGTATGGTGCGCAATGCGTGGGGTGGCACACAGCCAGCCAGTGCTTTACACATACTGTATCTCTCACTGAAAACTGACTTAGTGACGACCTCTGGACCAATTTGAATGACTAAACTAATAGGTTTGGATGAATCATGGAGGGTATATTAAAACACATAGTTGCTGAGCAGTGAGAAAAAAGACCCTAAGTGCAGTGTAGTCATGGCGCTGGTTTTGACCAGTCTTCCAATAAAGTTTTTGTTTCGAACAAGTTGTGCTGGGCAATGTGTGCTCAGCCGCCCCAGGGACAGTTCGCCCTGGCACTTCCAGTCAGCCACTTGAAACCTGGTGTTCAGATCACAGGTGGCTAGTCTGCTTACAGGTCACGCTAATAAAACTAGACATGTATTAAAAAGAACCAAAAAAGGCCAGTTTCTGATAATTAGACAAGAGAATCTGTCCAAATGAAAAGCCCCAAAGGATGCCTGATTGCTGGAGGCAGGGCTGGTAGGATATTAAGAGGATAATTAGAAGCACACCTAATCACCGTCCTCCCCCCCCAGACCCTCAGATTAAAAAGAAAATACTCAATGAGCCGTGCATTAATAACTGTCACTGGACACCAATTGCTCTCATTCAAGGACTTGTTTGGATGGTACAGGCCTTGACACCGGCTCTGTAAAACAGCTCTGATTGCCTGTCAATATCCGTCCGTGCACGAGTGGTGCAAAACTTTTGCAGTCTAATGAACAAAAGAAATATGGTTTTTGGCGTGTAGCTCATGTGAAATTGTTAACGTGCTCAGCATGCACAATAAACAACTGACGAACTACGGGCTAGCAAAATGTGTCACCACGCAAGCGCGATGCATGGATGCCGCGATGTGTACCTAGCCCTTTCACAATTTTCGTTGCACATTCGTCCGTTTCTTAACTTCTTTCATTTTTGTAATTCCACTTGCTTTCCATCAAAAACTAATTCCGTGTTAGCGGTTAGCCCACAGCATGTAACAGAGTATCAAAAGCGGAAGTAAAGATTGAAGAGATAACGTACTAGGCTGACCGTTTGGTCTAATTTAAGGTCGTCAAGTGAGTTGAACTCCACACGCAAAACATCGCAAGGGTCACACACATGCCGCCCCAGCACGCAACACTGCCACAAAGTGTGCGCTCAGCAAGCTAGCACATGCGCAATACCGACTTCAGTGACCTTGCAGGCTCGACATTTCCGTCCAAAAAGATGGATCAAGCATGAAGGGGAACGCGACTTGCGGTTTTCGTTGCGGTAAGATAATGATCACACCAAAATGCCGGATCAAGATCCACCTTTACCCAATTCGCGCTGTTAATTGCCACTCCTAATGGTTTGTGAATAGAATTACTGACTGTGCAGGACTATAGCTTTGGAAACATCTTTTGTTTTAAATCAATTTTACCCACGAGTTTCATTTTTGTTTTTGTTTTCAAACTAATCCAGCAACAAAACTGAGTGAACTGCAATAAATTCCACTTTGCAAATGTTCCCACTTCATTTGTTAAGTGACAAGTAGACAGGATTAGCCGTCACTTGAGTAGTGTTGGCACTGTGTGCCTGGCACCTACACATACGAATACGCCACACATGTTCAAATGTACTGTGTCAGTCTATGTGTACTGCCCCAGACCTCCACACCAGGTATGCTTTTACATGTGTACATGTACAAGCGTGTGCTATAAAATGGCCTAGTGGTTAGGATTTGTGACTTGCCACCCGCGAGTTGGGGCTTCGAATCCAGACGGCTACACGTTGCCACCTTGAGCAAACCATTTTCCCCCACATACGTCTCTCTTCACCAACGGTTTTAGTATTGGACACCTTTGCCTGTGAGGGTTGAGACCAGATGTGTGTTGCTTTCTGCTGCCAAAAATGGTCTGATGAACGCAGGCAGTACTTGCAATTATTTGTGACTGGAGCAGCAAATATACATGTACATGTTCATACATGCAGCTGGATGTGTGTGCTTTATTTTATTACATGCAGATACAGGTGAGAGAAACTCACTCGCATTTTCACTCACAAAACCCAAAAAGCCCTCTGCAGGCACAGTCGCTCGGTTACAAAGATTATTTCCAACTGCACTTTCATGCCAAAGTTGCAGTTTCCACAGACTGTGCCAATCTTACCGTTATTCCAAGGCCATGCCAGTCCCATGTTTGCTTTAATAACTTACTTCATGTAATCAACATTTCCAACAGGAGCCAATATGTTTCATACGAAGGTAATCTTGTTTCATTTTCTCCCCATACAAACAAAAACAAAACTACCCCTCGCTCAAGAATAAGCAAACTGGTGTGTCCTTCTGCAGTACGTGTAATTTGCTGTGGTACCAGCTTGCTAATACATATATATAACCTGAAGGAACAAGTGGCTGTTTCACTGGGTGTAATCAAGGGAGATATCCTACAACTTTGTCATTCAAATGAGCTGGACAGTTACTCTAACAGCAAGGTTAGCTTTATGATTGGAAAACAAGATGAAATTAAGTCTTCCAGAACCTCTGTGGGGGGTTTAATATGAGTGGAATTAGTCGTGTCTCTTCCCAATGAGAAAAAGAAATTATGAGTTTTACTTTTTTACTTAGTACACCTTTTTCCCTCTTGTTATGTTCAAAGTTTGAGGTGTCAGTTGATTGGCAGTCACATTGGCAAGGGGGGATGGGGTCTTGTTCAGGTGGCTTCCCAGTTTGTTGTTCATATAGGTATGTACTGTTGAATGTATTGAGTGGAAGCCGTGGAATGCATGCAGAATGGTCAGTATACAGTGTAAGAAAAGTTGTAAGAAAAGTATGCAGTGAATTTGAGAAGTTTCACACAGGAACAGATGGTGTGGCAGTTGTAGGCCATCCGTTTCTGTGGTATTTTGACGTGATGCACAATGCACTATGTGCACATTTCACTACATGCATCTGCGACAGAGCAAAGATGTATCACAACTTGTCAGTGTCAAATGTGCTCTAAATAATGCATTTTTGCTGTTCAGTCATTAAATCGTGTAGGACTGGATTGATGAGGTTCATGTGTGCATATCTGCACTGATACTGCCATGTTGAATTTGAAAGTGTTTGATGGCTAAGCCCAACATTGCACACATAACCCCAAACGCATAATGCAAAATGCATGTGTGCACATGTTTATAGGCAAAGCTTTCAATTTTGCTGAAGTAACCCCTTGCAAGTACAGAAATGACTGTGGTGTTAGAAAGTAGAAATCAAGCTTTCTTGAGCAATCTTTCCATTTCCAAACACTTAGAGTAATAACATACACAGTTTTTTTAATCTGTAGCCTGATTTATCTGCTTGTTTAACTGTTGGGAATGGGAGCCTACCTGTACCTTCAGTTTTGTGGTGGGCAGCTAAAATGAAGGAAAGTATTCACCAAAAAGTCTTACTCTTCTCAAAATGTGGTCTAGTGAAGGCGTGTTTCCATTGGACTTTTTCTTCTGCAGAAACTTCCCGCAACATTCCTTTGTGTCAAACTACTGTGCATTCCCACGTGGACTGTGTTTTACCATAACAGAATGTTTATTCGCTGTGATAGGTCTCATAAGACTAGCTGATTACATTGCCTGCACTGTACAAATCCTGATGAAATTGGCAAAATCTGAGCAAAAAATGACAAAATCAGCTGAATTCGGCCAAACCTGCCACAAATGAGATGAACCTGTACAGGAAAAGCCCCATACACAATATGCATGTAGTTTTATACGGGCATCCTTCACTGTGTGTGCGTGGCATGCTGCTGTACTGTACACACGCAGGTGGAGACTGGGAACCATACACCCATTTTCGGTTGCCCACTATAGATCTCTGTGTAGCAGTAGTAAATGTAGGTTTAGCATGGTCGAAGTCAATATAAATTCTACGGGGAACTGTGCCCATTGGACTTTCTTGCGCCCCTGCTAACTTACCGTGGCTGTGCAGAAATCTTCCATGACCCTTTTCGGCCCGTTAGTTTTACATCACAAGCGCGATAAGTTGACAGGGACGTTAGTTTACCGTGTGTTCCCATTGGATTGAATCGTGTAAGTCTACAGGGTAAATTAACATGGTAAATGAACCGAAAAAGTCCAATGGGAACGCGGCTTAAACCTTAAGGGCAAGGTAACTGTCTGTTGGCCAAACATGAAATACTGCTTTTACCCATTGGGCTAGTTGGAAAAAGGTTTCATTGCAGACCTGTAATGTACAGTATTCATTGCTCCTTTTGAATCCCTCCGTATTTTTGTACTGTTCATGTATAAAGTGATAAAAGAAAATTATCCTTTCCCCAAAACCTAGTTTGAAGGTTTCTACACTACTGCCATTTTTAAATGCAGTAATTATAATCTGTGAAGTTCCGAGATGCCCAGAGTTGGTAGAGAATCATTTTACTTGCTTTATTTTCAAATCTGCCATCATTACCATCAGCATAAACAATTTCCAAGCATACTAAAGGTTGTCTGAGAATGTGATACAATTCACCACATCTACGTTACCTGAGCCATCTGAAACTCTTCCTCTAAAGTCTCCCTGTTTTTTAATCCCCTTTTCTTCCATCAACAGAAGAGGACTTAGATGAGCTGTTTGCCAAAAAGACCATTCCCAGGCAGAATGCCAGTAATGAAGACCGTCGCCGATCAGTGCTGTCACTTCAGCTGGAACTGAACCCTGATCAGGCCAACAATCCCTTCTCAGAGTATGCCAAGTTTGACGGCAAGGTAAGGCCATCCAAAAAGGGCAGAGGCGCGGTAATCTTCCCTAGGCCAGCCTGTCCCCCAAAAAACAAAAAACCAAAATGAAAAAAAAAGATGACTGCCATGTCTGTTATTGTTCATGTTATCCCAAAGTAAGCCATGAAATTGTCGACCCTAACTCTCCCAACTTTGTACATGCACCGAGGATGATCCTAACAGCCAGTTTGGTATGAAATTTGAATTATGAAGTACATGAAAAAAATTGTAGACTTAGCACGCAAAGCAGTGACCACAAACTGGGATGTTGAACACAGTTAGACCAAACAAGTCCACAGAATGCAAGAGAAAGCAAAGACTCCAGAATATTGGGGGGGGGTTGCCTATAAAAAAGACCCCCAAACGGTGCATTCCCTTAGCAAACCTTACCTCTCTGACTCTCCCTGGAAGCTAGATCTGCCCCTGCTTTGCCCTGGGTACAAGCTAATGACACAGACTACGTGGGTTCACTGCTACAGATATTATGTGCTGTGTGCTGGCTGGCATTTTGAATAACAGCATGTTTTGTGTCTTCCACACCAACAGGCTCATGCAGGGAGTGCCAACATCAAGAAGATTGACATCTACCTGGCCATGTGTGAAGGAGACGCCCGCGAGTTCCCTGTCACCATCTATGTTGTGGGGAATGCCAAAGTGCTTGATCTCATTGGGCTGATATGCTGGCATTACACCAACAAGGGGTACCAGCCTAAACTTAGGTAATTTACACCTACACCTGCGCCTATGAGTACACCCATTCCTATAACAACATGTAGACCTATACTCATACATGTACATGTACTATTTTTCTTTTCGAAATGGATAATTTTTGTTACCGGAACCATTAAAAACCATCACTAGGTTGATGAAACTGATGAATTGCTCACATTTATTCAAACCATTTTGACTATCTTCATATTTTCATCAGTCTAATGCATGATCGCATCACGAGTTCAGCACATTAACTTTAATGGACCATTTGATATTCAAATAATTCTGGTTTAAATAAATTCCTCACTTGATCCATGAATTGATACATGTAAGTGCATGATGTATGGACTTCATGCAAATGATACATCAGTTCATGGTTAGGCAGCGTTTCACAATATGTCACTCTGTGGTGCAAATGATCAATTGATCCTTTGCGGCCCCTGATAAGCACCATATTAGTTGATTATAAGCTTTTGTTAATAAAGGATGGAGACAATCCTGTGTTTAATTGCAGAAAGGTTTGTTTGTTAATCAACCAAGTCAGTTAAATGGGGTGCTATTGCCAGTCAGTGACATACAGCTGTTGAATCACCATGCAATTTGAATACAATTACTTTTTGTCATGGTGGTTGTTCAGTGTCCCTCACCCCGCCCCCATGTCTTTGCACGTCCAGTACAAGTCAATCACATGTCATTCAGTCTCATGTCATTCGGTCTCATGTGACATCAGAAACTGTTCAGAACAAATGTGACAAAGGCGCTCCATTGTTACTGTTCATTCACCCCTTGTAGACTCATGAGGAGACTTGTGATGGACCTGTCCCTGACTAACTTCTGGAAAGCAAAGGGAAAAAGCCCAGTATGTCGTTAAGATTTCAACGGTGAAGTTTAAAAACGATCCACACCATGCAGAAAACAAGAGATAGCGTGTTTCACATATGAACGTCATTCCTTAGGTGGGAACTGACTGCGTGTGTGCACAGATTCCTGTGCTCTTAGCAGAAGCCACGCTGAGTGTGCGCGTCCACTTTCTAATGGAAACAAATGGAATGTATGTTTGTGCAGTGGGCGCCTTTGCAAAGCCCGTTGAAAAATTCCCCACCCAGCCAATGAGGGGGTACTTCTAGTCGGAGCAGAGAGGCATTCGATATAGAGGAAGAAGTTTGAATTCACAGATTCTTTTTGAATGCGATGTTACAGGCAGAACGTGGAGTCCTATTGCCTAATGATTGCAGAGGAAGATGGAGAGGTGGACACAGACTTCCCAGCCCTGGACAACCGTGAGGCCATCTCCAAGTTCGGCTTCAACACCCTGGCGCTGGTCCCGCTGGACATGCCAGAGGATGGTAACAGCGAGGAGGTCCGCCAGGAGGGATGCGTGGTGAACATGTGAGTACCAAGATGGGAACGATTTGTCCATGTGGGGGCGAAGTCTGAATGGAATAGACAGGTAACCAACCAGAAACAGTGTACATGCATTGCAGTACTATTGAGGACACTATGAACTCACAAAGAGAACAAAGGATTCTTTTTGCTGTCAGGAGTCAGTCCTTTGCTCAAAACCTTCCTGTGGTGTCTGTGTTTAATATTGAAATAATGAGAACATTAATCCATGAATCTTAAGGGAACAATAAGGAAAGCCTTTTCTCCATGGTATAGTCTAATATCACTGAGAGATTGTGTGGCCTCCTTGTATGCATGTATTAAAGTTCATTCCCTGTGGCCATTCCATGAACACCATTTTCCATTGATTCCTCTCCTACAGATTTCCTTCCTTGTGCAATATTGGCAAAAGATTTATCCATATGCTGTGTATAAGATAGTGGGAAGCGGTCGTACAAACGGCATGCATGTACCCTTACATGCAGGGCCTGCTCTTGATACCAACAAATGGGCCTGTGTACACCATTAGTTTGACGGTTCCTTCGTGACTAGCCCAGCAGTTTTTTTCCAGGGGAAAAACGGGATACAAAATGGGCTGTCTTGCCCTCACTCTAAAAATATACCCCTCAAACCAGTCCCCATAGATCCTCATTAGGTATTCTTTGTCCTCACAAGGTTTTACCTGGTTCTGTGCTAGAACATGTTAAGGCTGTTCATTAAGGCTGGTCATTTTATTTATTTATTATTTTTTGGGAGGGGCCACACGGGGCCCAGCTTTGTTAATCTTACTCAATGTTTGCTGGCTCCTCAGTTGGAACTTCACGGAATTTGCTTGGTCCGGATTTTCGCAGACCTTACCAGCATAGTTTATATGGAGGTCCTCTCTAGGGCCTCATTAGAATGTTGATATTTCTTAATCAGTCTTATGGATATGTACATACATGTATATGCAAAGCTCCTAACATCAAATCAGCTTTACCTGAAAATTTAACCAATAGATGTGCCCAAACCTCTTCATGTAGGAATGTGCAAAAATTATTATGTAACCCAAAGGGAACCAGGGACCTCCATTATTTTGCATACAGTCATTTTAGATAATTATGTTCTTTTGTTCTACCAAAGAAAGTCATTGCACACATTGCGTAAAGTAAAATCTTATTCTCAACAGTTACATGTAAAAGAGCTCATTCATATTTTTCTTCCTTTGCTAGTTTGGAGCTTTCTTTAAATGTGAAGTAGGCATTTAGATAATTATCCTATCGGATGAAATTCTCCACTTCCCACAGCCATGATTTTCACCTTTAGCTCCCCGATATACGCAACGTAATGGTCTTCACGTGCAGGCTAAAAAAAATTTTCAAACGCTTATACTGCGGGCACCTTGGCATCCATTAAAATGTCAACTAACATAAATTACCCTAAAACATAAAATGTCTGCCTCCTGGCCCCATTAGCCCATGCACACCTCTGATTAATATCTTGTGACAACTTTGTCGTGTCATGAATAACGCTTCGCGGCTGCCCCTGTTCCCTTCTCCACGACCTCCCCCCCCAACAGTCACTACCAATCTAGACACACTTTGCGAAATATCTCTGTCTTGCTGAAGCCGCGAAACTTCATATAAGTCTTTTGCATGTGTTTGTGTTTTTTTTCCCCAAGTCTGGAATGAGACATGATATGCTTAGAGATTTTTTTCTTTCATTCCTTTTTTTGACTTCTTTCCCCATTTCTCCACTCTTGGCGTGATGAGCTGCAGCCCTATTTAATTACCCTGGGTCTTGGCCGGGAATTAGACTGTCCTGCTTGATTTGCACTCTCAGCTCTGATTGGCTCACTGAGAGGAAGCATCACCTGTTGTGTTTGTGGATGGTAAACCTGATGACTTCTTTGCACATTACCCCCTAAAGATTCTTCAAAACATGCTGTAGTCAATGGACAGGTCTGGCAACCCCCCCGTGGTTTTTTTTTTTTAAATCTTCTTTTGGAGGAAGTCCTTTGATCCTACCAACTTCCGACTTTCATTAAAAAAAATGGTGTTTATCTTATGTGCACCACCCCAGCTGTAATCCATATAAAAGGATCCAGTCCCAGAGTTGTTGATTCCTTCATTCGCATTAAAACTCTTAATGATGTGTAATCATTTAATGTGTACTTCCTCAAACACTGGTATTAGGTATCCTATGCCTTCTCTCAAGTGCCAAAGAATGTATGTCAAGGCTCAAGCTAGCTTATCTCCGATCGTGACCAGTTCTAGTTTAAGCACCGATTTATGTTGTAGTTTGGCATTCTGAAAGTAAAGAACCATTTTTTTTATGTCAACTTACAAAGATCTGTTTTCTCTGTCAAGTAGTTAAGTTTGTAATACATCTGGCTTCCCTTGTAGAATAGAAACATCTAAAAAATGAGATGATAGGAAAAGAAAATCCGGCTCTTTTTTACCAGGATGTTTTCAGGATGTCACTGCATGAGCAATGACACACTGTCGGCAGTGTGCATACCTGCCCTTTGAAAAGATCCGTCTTGCTTTGGTATTTTCGTAACTGAATGCACACTGGGATTATCCTCTACTGGATTACAGCCCAGTGAAATTGATGGATTGAGGAGTGACAGATGATTTAACATGGAGATTGTCGCCATTTTTCATTCACATTTGGAGTTGTTTATAACACGGTTGGCTTGCTTTCTGGTGCAGGATGGTCTTTTGACTGGTGTGTGTAGCTTGTTGGGTTTATTTTGCAAGTACAGCATGGCCAGTTTGGTTAGCGTTTAGGGACTAGCCGATTGACTGAACTAGCAAGTGGTTAATCGGTCTGGTAGATGGCTAGTTCCAGGTTGGTAGCAGGGTGGTAAGATTGTATTTTCAGTCATTGCAGATTTTCTAGTTTGTTTAGCTGCTTTTATCTGCTGAATGGTTTCTACCTGGCTCTGTACTTGACTGTAAGGTAGGTTAAAGGTTTATCAGCTACTTTTGTTGGTTTATGTACTCGTCATAGTGTTTACGTTTTGTGTTCAGGTCAGCTATCATGCAAGTGCTTCTTCACTATTTGTTTTGTTGATGTTTTATTTAGTATTGTGACAGGCTCGCTGTTTTCTTTGTATAAGTTATGCGTAAATATACAGTGTGTAAGTCTGACTTAATGAGTTGAAGTCACAACCTTTCTTAAACTTTTGCATACAGTCCTGAAAACTCCCAAAAATTCAAGACATTCAAGAATTGCGGGGATGAAATATTTCCTAATTTCTGAGTTTTGTCATGAGGACTTTCAAAATCTGGAAAATGCTGAGATTACCATTGAGGTGTTTCTGTGTGTAACAGTTGAGGTTGCGAACAAGAAATGGACCAGAAGGAATACCATCTACACCCTGTGTTACTGTGGGCCCTCCAAACCTCTGGTGATTATTTTTTGGATACTTCATTTTTTCCAATCTCACCCCTAGAACTGGCCAAAATCTGTCTCCTGCAATTCTTCCTTTTCTTGGCACAAACACCTGGACCACTGCTCACTTTTGTTACTTAGCTAGCTGTGCAGTTATTTTCTGAGCAGGGAGTTGTGTTTCATTGTCAGGAAGCCAGCTTACTATCCTGCGTTGACCCGACCAGACAAGACTTCCTCTGAAAAACATCCAAGGAGCTGTCTGACCTCTGTGTTGATCCAAGAGGCTAAGGAGAGGGCTAGGTTGTAAGGGGGTACATCCTCAGTTTTACCATGTTCATTGGACAGCACAACCTTAGCAACAACCAGCTTTAAAGTGTAAACAAAAAGTTTTTGGTACCTGCTACACAGTCTAACAGATGCCATGTCCAAAAGTTTGGGCTGGGGCCAGTCATAATGTGGTTGCCTGTTGGAAGTCGGTGGCAAGTGGCCTTGGCAATTTCTCATAGATGCGTGCAATGTATTCACCTGCAGCCGTTTGTTCAGATACGGCAAGACAAGCAACAGGTTCACATGCAGTCCCGACCTGTGACGGTCAAAAAGAGCACAGAGTGTAAACCACTGCTAGTGCGATGGCAGGCTAAAACTATCCACTCACACAAACTTGACTACTTAATCATGGCCCTTTCAGTATGAATAAGAAGCTAGCACAATTTTCTAGCTTGCAGTGTAAAACGAAATGCGATTCTGACTTCTTTGAATGTTTTTGACGAAGATACTGGTATTTTGGGAGGAATTTAGCCGATGATGCATGGGGATGTAGCCCATCATTTATTTTTCCATTTGTTCAATTTTCCCCAAAATATTCAATTTGTTTTTATGTCATGGATGATGGTGTTGTGGCTGTCTTTAATGCTTAGAGTTTCATTGTGTCTCCTCAGATGGTATATTGCCTACCCTAAAATCATGACGACTACTGAGTTTGCAAGAGGAAACTTACTAATAATACAAACCCCGTTCAACCCCCCCCCCAAAAAAAGGGGCAACAGCCGAGGTGAATCTCAAGAACTACTTTTTATCCCCTTGCCCCAGTTTTAGGGTCATCAGGAAAATGACCATGTCATTGTTCTGTTCACAGTAGCCTATAAAAAGAAAAGAAAAAAAGTTTGCACATGTTGAACCTGAAGTGCTTTGCACTTTCTGTTGCCCCCCTTCAACAAACCAAACGGGAGTCTCTTTCAACAGACACTTAATCTCCCCCCTGCAGATCTTCCCCCGATATATAGCGAGTATCCTCCCCCTGCGGCCACTGGCTGGGGCTCGCACGCAGGCCCTGGACGTGGCAGCGTTTCCTGCCTGACACCACCTCTCTGCTTCCACCACACCACCTAGCCTGTTCTCACCAGGGGCTCCCAGCGGGAGCAAGAGGGAAGCCCGGGGGGCATGCTTCCCTTCTCTCTTCCTCTGCCTCCAGGCAGTCGCTCCTAAATACTTCATCCTCCTTGGATCAGAGCACACTGTCACATTAGTTGAAGGGTTGTATCAGTGTGGAGAGTTCTTTTTCTTAAGAATGAAGAGAGAGAGAGAGAAAAAAAAAAAGGTCGGGCAGTGGTTCTAAGGTATCTGGCCCGTGTCGGCAAATTTTGTGAAAAGGGGAGGGAAGGGAAAAAACGTGAAGGTAGTCTAGCAAAGTTGTAGGTTTAATTGACTGTGAAGCATAACTCAAACACAAGACTCTCGTTAAGAGACCGAAAGTCTCTCGGGTCCCCCCAGCCCCCTAATCAAATCAAAAGCTCGCTGGCAAATACGCTGGCAAATACCCGCTGTATGGCCCTAAACAATGCTACAAGTCTTGGTAATGGAAAACAGGTACAAGTGTGTGTGAGGAGAGGTATTTTGGCTGTGTGCGTGATATGCGAGAGGAACATGCAAATTTGAGCCGTTTCATATTACTGAGGTTGTCGTGGTCCCACATGTGTTCAGGTTTAATGGGCATTGGATTTCGGTTTCAAGATCAAAAACAAGCTGCAACTGGTTGTAACTTAAAGAACAGCTCCAGCGATTTCAATTTTTTTTTATTACTGATGTCCCATTTGAAGAGCTATGTCTAATAAACCAGGAAAAGTCAAACTGCCTTTTTATGTTCATTTTTTGTGTCAAAAGAAATGCATTTTGTGGGCAGTTTGTTAGCGAGAGTTGATCCGCTTTCATGAAAAGGAGCGTAACATCATGACTCATAAGCATCTAATGAATTTTGATTTCTGTGATGCGTTACCGTGTAGAGGAAATACCACAGTGCGCATGCTACGTGTACATGCATCCATAGCATACATAGCTGCGGACGACAGCACGAAAGTAAAGAATGTTCTCATTCTTCGGAAACTCAAAGAATTTCGATCCCAGTTTTTTTCACAGAATTTCCAGTACATCCACCAAGACGCACGTATTGGGCATTATTGTAAGTCATGAAGAAAGGGGCACAGACTCTCGACCGAAAAGAGATAATGCAGCACAGTAGCACCTGCACACAGATCGATCGCTGACATGCGGTGCATGCACAGGTAGCTCCATTTCATGTACGGCATAAGTACGTTCGTAGCGCAACCAGTCGTGCCACGGATACCAGTTTCAATGTTTCCTCCAGTATTACATCATACAAATTTCATTTCTCAACAGTGCCACAAGCGGTCAGATTGTGGAAATTTTTCATAAAACTCAAAGACAACGTTTAAAAGTTTCTGCAAAATTACAGAAAATCCAGACACAATACAGACATGATTTGGTAATGAATATATGATTTATTAAACACCAAATGCAATAAGAGTTTATTTTCAAAACTTTTAAAACAGTTGGAGTTAGTCTTTAACTAATGGCATCAGAGGAGGGCAGTGGTTTGGCTGGCTCATGTCGTTTGATGCATTCTCCAGGTCAATTCAAAATACCAAACCTATTTGCTGTTGCGTACATGTTAAATTTGCGTGCATAAAGTACATGGAAGTGGTCATTTATGTCGTTGTGTACATGCAAGACTGTCAAATTTTAACACACACACGTGTGTATGTTGTGATGGTCCATACGGACCGCTCCCTTTTATTCAAGGAGTTCCACACCAACACATGATAATCAAAGACAGTCCTATTGTTTTTACCATTCCTTGAAGGGGACAAGGCAGCCAAGGTTAATGACTCAAAGTGCACCCTCTTTTTTTCGTGCCCCGCCCCATCTGATGAGTGAATCATCCCAGAAACACAATGATGAATCATGGCATATCCTGGTACGGATCAATAGTACAGTCCATCGTCAACGAGTGTGACCCCCTTTTTTTTTCCTTTCTCTTTCTCTCTTTTAATTAGCAGCAAAGGCAAGGCCTGTACTTGGGAAAATTGAATTTGTGTTGTGTTTTTGAGCTGCAGATTTTGTAGACTAGGAACTGGGAATGGAGAGCTTAAGGTCTTTCAGTTGAAGCTCTTCTCAAGATGGCCAGCTAGGAAGACTCTGTGCCTTGTTGTGATGGGGGGGGTGGTTAACTCTCCACACCTGTCTTGTGTAGACATTGCTTAAGAAAAACCCTTGGTTTTTTCTGTGCTCATATTCCTATGTGGTTGTACATGTATGTGAACAAACCTGCAGGGAGCCCCTCTCTGTGTCCTTGCCTCAGGAGACCGGTTCTTTGTCTGCGGTGGGAGCCATTTGACCATCTGGGAGGGGGGGTTCAACCAGACACAGGTGTACAGCTAAAGTTTTTTGTTTTCTTTAGTGACACCTCAAAGATCTGTCCACTTGTGTACTGACTTCAACCATGCTCATTAGCTTATTCCAAAGAAAACAGCATTTTGCCAATTGAGAAATGCCAAGAATAAGATGGAATATTTTTGCTCCATCTGTGATAATGAATGCAGTATACATCGCATTTGCCATGTAGTGACTTCTCGTAGTAGGCTTGGCTCCAAAATGGAACCAATATCTGTTAATCAGAATTTAAGAGGTGTGTAAGGGGCAGGGGGAGGCAGACAGGCCTCCCTCCAATAAAAAGGAGGCAAACATTTAGGGTTTGTAAACTGAAAGAGAGCAGTACAATTAGGGGGGAACAACATTTCCCTGTATCCATGAAAGCATCAAATAGACCCCAGTATGTAGTCTCACACCTCATAAAGGCCTTAAACATTGCATGTATAGTCTATAGAAATTCTTGACTTTTACACCTGCCACGGTCATCCCCCCTCTCCACCAACCCCAAAAGTTGGTTCCATATCCACACTTGATTTTAAGAAATTTATTTCCCTTCAGAGAACTCAAGGCAGATCTGAGGAATTTCCTGAGTTGAGGATAGGCTTTTGTTACTTTTCCCACACTTACATTAGACCATTAGAAAGCGCTTTGTCACATTTACAAACATCAGCAGTTTTGTTGTTATACATGTACATGTACAATAGGTAATTTGAGGGTGGTTACAGGTTTCCAGTGCATTCTGTGATATTGCCAAAATAGAAGGCAGTGTATGCCAGATATTTTTTTATAAATATCACTTTACATTTTGTACCCCCCACATTTATATTGCATAAAAGAGACTTTATACATGTACTTAACATGGAAAACCCATATTGTGCATAGCTAGATAGGGTTGCAACAGGTGGAAAGGCTTGCGGTAGCACCATGCGAAGGAATATGTCTCTTTTATCAGTATGTGTGGTTCAGGAAAAAAATAGGATAGGGTTGATGTGATACTAGTACATTTCTAGACATGCTCTGTGAAAACCATTTTTGTTTTTGGGTGGGGGCGATATTTGTTCTATTTGTTCAGAATCCCCTCTTATGACTACTGAGTATTACCTGAGCAGCCATTGATTCCCGAACAGTAAAAATTGTTTTGTAGACATGAGGAAAAAGATAATTTTATTTGGCTGTTAATGCTGTACACCTCACATCGGCAATCGGCAGTTCCTCATTCTGTCATCACCTTCACTTCCATTTCTTTAAACGGAAAAGAAACACAATGAAAAACATACAATTTTGATGACACCACAAGAGCCTATTCAAACTTGGCCCACGCCCAATGAAGTCATGTTTCATATTTCATTGTGACCAAAAAATGTGGCAGTGGTTGCCTGGATCGCTGTGTCACTTCCTCTGTCTTCCACCCCCCGGGGAAATATTTTGGTGAGCTGTCACCCTTCTCATTCCCCTCCCCCACCTCTGCAGGTGTAGGCTGTCAGCTGGAGCTAGTGCTATCAGACTGCAGTTCAACAAATGTCCTCTTATTGGTTGTTTTTGCAGTGCCTTTTCAAACTACCAAGTGCTGTATTATCTGTTCCATTATGCAATTTCTGCAGTCTCAAACAAGGAAGAAATCTGAAATGAGACTTGATCCGGAGACATCTTTATCACAATTCCGGCACATTCCACAATGAACTTTGCTTTTCAACTCTGTGGTTTGGGTCTGTCTTCATGTGGACTTTTTTTTCAAAATTTGGCTCAATTGTTTTACTGAATTAAAGCCAATTACATTTTAATCTTTTAACATTGTGATTTGTTCTGTCAGAAGCTTGTGTTAAATCAAATTGGTCAGTATCAGGGTCATCCTGAGTAAAATGTTTGCCTGCAGTTAATTTTCCGCTGAACTTGCTTTTTGCCAAGCAAAATAGAATAAACTCCATGGTATTGGTCCTGGATATTCAACACAGAGAGCTTTTTTAATGGTTTGGTATAGACTGTTTTTTAAATAGCCATTTGGCTGAAAGCTGCTGTATTTTTCTCTTTGCACACTTGTCTTCATGCCATCTTCTTACTTTGAATTGTAAAACAAGTTTTCGGTGGTGTAAAAAATGTCAGTGCACCTGTTAAAATGTACACCAAAAAAACCCTTCAAAATCTGTTATTATTTTTCACAACAAAGTACTTGTTGCCTCCCGCTTCAATCGGGCTGTTAGACCATTTCTACCATCTGTATGTTTCTGAAGTTTAGACTCTGATGTAGGTCCGTGGAATGTTACAGCTGAAATTTTGTTTCCTCCAATGGCATTTAAGCTAAATCCAGCTTACCACTAGTGAACAGATGGAATGTTAGCTGCAGCTGCTCCAGAGCTGTAATTACCTGCCCCCTCCCCCAAACAGAAATTGACACCAGAGACTGCCTTCCTTCTCCCCCCTTTCCCCCTTCTTTCATTTTCACTTTTGTCTATCGTCAGGCTCGGCTAATCTCCCGTCTCTGCCTTGTTTCCCCCCTCCTCTGTAACAGAAAATCTTCCGACGGTGAATCCAAAGTGGCCGTTGACAACCTTAACACCACGCTCCGCGAGATCTTAGTGCGGGCTTTGCGGAAGCGAAAGGGGGTCATACCAACGGCAGGTAAGCCATTTTTTTCCCCTCTCTTTTCTTATACGTGTATTGGCTAGGGGGCTGACTTAAGGGTTGAGCATGATTAATAATAGGACTGGGTCTGTAATTTTTGTCTCTGTCTTTTTTTATTTTGCGGTGTCCGTTCTGGGGACAGGCAAAGGGAGCAATTAGAGTTGGGTTAAAATTAGCGAGGTGTTGTAAGAAAGGGCGGGAAGGAGAGATATCATTGGCAGATTTTGGGGTTTGATGAGAGTTGGCCACGAATTAAAGTAGCATCCCTTCATAATTGGCTCATGCCCAAGAGGTTTTCAATTGAATCACATTATTTTTTTTTTCATTTCTCATTGAAAGTGGGCAAAAAACGCTTGAAAGGATTTGTGGCATTCAGTAAGGAACATGTATTGATGAATGAAGTTTTCTCATTGAAAACCCAATTCTTCCAATAATCAAATGTGTATAAACTGTCAACTAACATATTGAACAGAAACCGCTGCTCATAATAAAATGGCTTACTGGTATATTTTAAGAGGATCTGAGGGATGTTGATTGTAATATGCATTCCCAAAAATTAAACATACAGGTAGGTTATTTTAATGCAGTTCAGACATGCGCACTGTGCATTTTGTGAAATTCCTTAAAAATATGAGAACAGTGCAGTGCAGAAAAGAAGACCTGTACACAGCTAAAAAAAATAATTGAAATATGTACAGTTTTGCCAGTCGATAATGCTTGACTCTGTTCACATATTTAACTTTATTCAATTTTGAATGGAGGTACAAATGTTGAGCTGCCACCAAGAACTAATGCACTGTGAAAGACAATCATCCTCGGTTCGCTCTGCTGAGACGCACTGTCCCGTCCCGAACTTTGCCGTCCCCCGCAACGGCATCATAAACTTGGCGCAATCATGCTTACACGCGCACTGGAGAGAAATGTAAACGGCAAGTGCGGTGCCGGCCACAATCAATAGTGTGTGCAATTAGTGCGGCGCAAACACCGTTATGGCATATAAATGACTAGTCACGATCAATCACAGTGTCAAAATCAAGAGTTCTCTCTGTTGCTCTGTTCTTCCGTCTTCTTTTTTTCTTTCTCCACCAAGTCTTTCTTGTTTGTTTGTTGGTGGTGGTGGTGGTTGTGGTGAGAAGCTTATACTCCTGCAGAGGTAGAAGTCGGCGCACCACGTTGGTGCGTTGAATCTAACAAATGCTCTTGTTTGCGGAGTCTACTTATGTCACACCTGGAAGAAGAAAGCTGGTGAATTATTAGACGAGGAATCAATGAAATTCTGATTACACACATGCGACATCTGTAACACTGTACAAAGTTCTATGACTTAGGCACTAGCTAGTAGTGGGATACTTGCCCCGTTGTGGCTGAGGTAGCTGAGTACCTTCACAGGTCGCCCCATTCACCCACCAAAGTACGATAAAATAACCACCTTTGAAGTCGATGTATGCAAGTACATGTATCTTTGATTACAGGATCTCCTACTATTGTACATAGCAAAGCTGTCTCTTGCTGGTATTTTGTCACTTGACGATTTTTGGAGGATTACAGAACATGATACAGTATCCGGGGGGGTCTGACCTTTTCAAAAACTGTAAATAAACTCAATCAAATGCATGCGGCACAGGGTACAATTCTCCTGTTTGAAAAGTAAATAAACGGTGTATATTCTGTGGAGTACAACAGGCTTTAAATGTGGAGAAGGCTGTTTTGTTGTCTGACGGGTGCACTTTGTGATCTCAAAGTGTCTGAATTGCCTTAGCAATTGTGTTCTTATTTCCACCCACATCCCAACTTCTGGTTTCCAAAGGCTTTGATTGGTTAATAATGTAACAAAAGTCTTGGCATTTGTTGCAGCTGTCATAAATTAAAATTTTCTGTTAAAGGGAACCTCAAACATATAGGACAAAATGTTCCACCTTCTTTTCTGCTGTGCCGTGCTTGAAGCTCAACGTGAAACAAAAATGATTGAAAAAATGTGAAAAAGGATTACATGTACCTGTCAATAGGTGTTCCAAACAGATTTCAACCACAGCTCACTGTGAAATCATATTTGACTTTATAACCTCTACTGCACGGACCAAGAACAATTCAATCAACTTGGTATACACGCACCGTAGAAGGAGGAAAAGCAAGAAAGTTAAATCCTATCCATCAGTGACACAACAGCAGAGCAGGATTTCTGTGCACGGGTTCTTTGGTCTCGTGCTCCGACGGTTGACGCCATACAGGGTACCGCGCACGAACACACTCATGCGGGCCTTGAAGGGGACTTAATTACTCCCTGAGCCCTGTGACAGGCTGGGCCCCAGCTCATCAGACAGCACGGGGTAAAAGATCTGGCGTCATGTGTCGCCGGAAGAAAGTCAATTATTACACCAAGACGATCAATGCACTTCACTCAGAAAAAGGGAGAACGGAAAAAAAACAAAAACAAACTCTGTAAATTTACGTATTTGTTCTGCGTTGGTAGGGGGGGTGAGAGGAAAGAAAAACTGCATGAAATGTGTTGAGCCCCCCCCACTTTACTGTGGCTACATTCCGTGGAATTAAATATCAGGGTATCATGCAAAAGTGCAAAGACATTGCACACGTTTGTGACTTATTCATATATTCTCTTATTTTATTCAATAAAATGGGGATTTTTTTTCTCCCAAATTTTTTTCTACCATGGCGTTGTTATTTTGCCTTGAATGATTTCTTCACAGAAGAAATAGAGTCTCTCCTGCTAATGTGTTTCTCTGAAATAACTACTGATTTGATCTAGTGTTGTTTTTGCCTGCTAGAATGATGTCAGTAAAGTTGTCAAGGATTTGGCACCAAGTTGGAAGTTCGTGTCTTGATCAGTGGAGACAAGGACCTCCATTGAATAACTATCAAGAAGCATTCTATCAAATTTCAATCCCTCATTGAAATCAGGTGCTAAAAAAAGAGTGTGTTACATGTAATATCATAGGAAAATGGATTGAGCATAGTCTTGCACTTGAGAGAGCAACAACTGCTTGTTTTCACACAAATCTGGATGTACAATCAACTGCACACTCAAGGGACTTCACAGGTTTCTGGCTGTGGCACCATCAGAGCTGTACTGTTCAAGATTACTACCATATTGTGTCTGTTGACAGCAGATCCTAGAGTTCAGCTTGCATTTGGGGCTCACTACCAGCTGAGCTTTCCAGCTGGGTGACTGGTGTTCCAGCTTGGGCGGTACACCAATCAGCATTCAGTGTGGCCTCCGCCAGAGGATCAGTTGTGCATGAGCAGAATTTTGAATGCATTGTGATCCAGGACAGATAATGTTTAACAACCTCTGGTCACTTAAACAGCGCTCTGTTGGTTCTGGGTTCTAAACCCAGATGTATGTGTGTAGTCCCGTTGGCCTTGCCAATAAAAGAAGTTCAGATTTAAACTGGGTTTGTATTTTTGGTGGGCTAATCATATTTCAGTCAAGTGGTTGATATATTCCATAAACACAATAAGCTGGGAAAGCTTACTTGGAGCTGTTTGCCCATGTGAATTGTGGTATTTTTAAACTCTCACTAGTTTTGGCTTTTTTGGGTGATGTTTAAGGTCCAGACTACATCCTTGAGAGGGAGAATGAGCCGGGCGTGGCCCTTGACCTGGATACCAAGCTCTGTGACATGACCTCCTTTGACCTGGTCATGGTCCGTGAACACAGTAAGTACCAGTACAGAGTAAGTACATGAACTCAGTGAAAATGACTTGTTCCGTACAAGTAATTGACATTTTTCAGTAAAACAATTTGTTCAGAAGAGCATCCATTTAGTTGATATTGGACCTCTGCAGATATTTGACCTGAATTGGACTCAGCCTTTCATTGTTATTGTGAAACTTGAAAAGTAAAAAAAAACCCACCAAAACCGAAGCCCAAATTTGTGGAGGGTTTGTCTCACAAGTTATGAACAAGTGATTTGAAAAGACCACAGAAGCAATACACACAGCCGTCAGATACCATTTTCCAAATACTCCCAGAAATCATTTGTTACAGTGGAAATTTAAGTGATTTATGTAATAATGTCAAAAAACAAAGGCTTAACATATTTTATTCCCTCCTTACTTAACTGTACTTGTTAGGTGTATTGACAAGCTACTTACATGTTACTAGGACATGACTTCTATAGTTCATTACACGAGCTCAGTATCAAACGAGACATGTAATTGACTGTTTCAAAGGACTACTTGTACATTCTTGATGGAGGATTACGTGTACCGGTAGCTCTGTTGATTGGACCATAGACCACAGACCCTGAGGTTCATTTACTGATTCATTCAACTATCCAGGGCAGACTTTTTTATTAAGTAAGTCATCAAGAAGCAAAGGATGAACAGAGGATAAGGTCACACCATTCATGTTTATCTGCATCGATGTAACTGTTATTAATCACCTCTTTGAAATGTATGCAATTCTACCGCAGTGCTGCAGCTGTAGTGGTCTCCACAATACTTTATCACCAGTCAAATTGTAGTTCCAAAATTCCAAACCAGTATCTTAGAGCTTTAATTGGTACCATTAAACGTAGGGACGTGTTTGAAAAAAAACAAACTCTTGACTTGATTCCTGTTTTGAATCTACACGTACCACACTAGCTTCTGTCACAGTGAAGGTATTCCCCAGGATTAGCTGTCGAATTGTAGTCTTTCTTTCAAGTGTTTATAGCGGTGGTAAGAATGAGTTGAAAGTTTACACCCCTGTCTGATGGAACACAAAAGGCCATCATGCATTATGCATTGCCTAGCCGTGGCGCATCGCTCAAAGCCTTCAAGTGTTGGCAGAGCTCTGCTTGTGAGGAGAGCGTTGAGCAGCGGGACTGTCAGTCACCAAAGGGGCCCATCCTCTCACCGGTAGCTCTCTCTTCCCATAGTCAAGGTTTTTTGAGATGCTAAGTGGTAGTGGAGGACCCTCTGGGGTGATGGGATAATGTCAACTGATTGGGGTATGGGAACTGTTCCTGGAGGGACTTTAGCCTCTTCATGTCCAGCTATCCAGGACATTGAGGACGTGGACCAGGGACGTGTGATGCTGCTCAAAGGGTTTGAACATGACTGGCTGCCAACAAGTTGTGTGGCTTTGCAGGAGCGTGGGTCTTCTTTTGACAAGTTGGACAACTGCATGTATTGCCTTCAAAAAAATTCATTAAGAGACAATCATGGGTGCCTTCTGTGTTTACGTTGGCCTATTATTTGGTCATCCCGTATGCCTTTTTGTTTGGTTGGAGGGTATGAAATTGCAATGTACATTAGTTGTGGAAGTAGAAGTATGGATGAAAATTTGCACAACTCATGATTACATATCCTTTCATGTGGGTGGAGTAGTAAAGTGATACAAGTACATGTACAAGGTAAGTTCATCAAATTGAAGCTGATGTTGCAGTGACTTCTTTAAAATGCAAATTCTTTCCCAAAATATTTGTTAAGGCAGTTTCAGTGAACGTCCCCTGAATGATGCATAATAACAATGCAAAAATAAGTGTCTGCAGTTGCACTAAATGGAATTCTGCAAATGGAATTCCGAATCATTTCAGTCCAAAAACCAACGTTTTAAACAAATCAAAATCTGCAAAGTCTCTTACCCTATTGACGAGCACGACACAGTGGTTGGGGAAATGTTTGAGGAGTGCATGAAGTGAAATGGGTTTTCCTTAAAAAAGTTTTGCTTGATAAACTGTGAGCAAAGTTTTTTGCAACGAAAAAAATTGACAGAAATACAAGATACAGAAAAGCCCTTCGAATTTGAAATTACCTTACTTGGCAGATTTTTTGTTAATTGGCGAAAACTGATCACATGCATTAGTTTTAAATTCCGTGAGCAGATATGAGATATTAAAAACAAAAAACAACAACAAACGGCAGCCAGTCTTTATCAAAATCCATTGTATAATTTGAATTGACCCCGTTCTGTCTGGTTTATACCAGACATTTATTACTGCAGGCCTGGCATGGTGTGGCTAATAAATTAGTGTAGCCATGCTGGTTGCACACGCACTTTAGGACTCATCTAAGCTGCTAAAACAGAGAGAGAGACAGCCATCCCAATGGTACGTGTACTGGTGATATATAGCCCAGCAATGCTGTAAGGTCTTTAGCTGGTCTGGAGAGAGAATGATGGCTCACAAGAATGATTAAGAAAAAAAAAAGAGTACAGCATCTTGTGCATTTACAACCACAAGAAGGGTGGGGGGGGGTAGAGAAAGAGAAAAGGAGAGAGAGAGAGGGGGGGGAGATCAGATGATTTAGCGTGAAGGCATTTGTGGGTTGGTGTACTTGTGTATTATCCATCATTCAGTTTAGATTTCCATGTTGGTCTGGCCGCCGTATATTACCAGTGGGGTTTGACGCCCGATTGTGGGGCTCAGATTTATTGACTTGCCGGTGTCAAGTTTTTTCCTTCCATTTCTTTCTCCCGTTTGCTCACCGGCTTGCTGTCTTTGGTTGATGGATGCCGGGTCACAGACAGATTTTGTAAGGTGTTTTGTGGGAGTGTGCCTGCGTTGTTGTCGTCGGCAGGCCCCGGGATTGTCATCGTGTGCCAGGAAATGATCAGAGATTATCTGCACTTTGTCATAATTACGCTGTATGTGTAGAGCGGTGCGAAGTAGCCCATTTATGTTTGTGTTATTGCACGACCCCACATGCTTGGGCATTATTTGGTTAGGCCAACTCAATCATAGCCAGAATAGCGTGTTTGCTCTCTTATTTGCCATCTGATTGAGAGGGCAGAGGAAAGTTTAAGAGTTTTTTTTTGCCCTTTTCAGCTGCCCTGGTCTCTATACCTGAACATGCCACGCAGATGGAAATAAATCGCCTTGTTAAGAGAAATCTCTGATGTTGCAGATGCCATGCTGTGGAAAGATTTTTGTTGTCCATTTCACTGGCATCCACCATATTGCAGTGCGGAACTGGTAGTTCCCATTTCGGAACTTGCTAAGGCAAGAGAAGACCAAGGAAAAAGGGCCTGTTTCACCGTGCTCACAGTGTACATTGCAAGCTTTGGTTTTTTTTTAATGCTGGCACTGGAAGACTTTTTGGTGCTCTGCTCACCAGCAGCTTCACCTTTCTCATGAACCGTGATCCGTGGTTCTAACCTTCCAATTTTGGTAGGCACCTCCCGGGGGACTAGCCCCCTCAACCCCCACCCTTGGTCCTCCGTAATCAAAGTTTCCCCAACGGGTCCACAATAATGAGGGCAAAACTGATAGCCTCCCTGGTCGTTGCGCTGCGGCCAGCCAGCCAGAGAATAAGGAATGTTTCGCATCACAGCACCGTGACGAATTACCAGTGCAGCCCCCCCCCACTGCACTGGGGCTTGGATTACGGTCATTAAGGTATGACATTCAGTTGGGTCGGGGCCAGATTTGGGGGGCCAGTCAGGATGATTTATGACCGTCCCATGTGCCCTTCAGAGTTTTTCTGATACCCAGCTTCAAGTGCAAGTCTGAAGAAGTGCAGTCTGGTATTGGGATGTGCACAGTCAAACATGGCTTTGTTAACTTTGGCCTTGTCAACTTTGCCTCCTTGAAGCACTAAAACGTGTTCTGCACTATGCGTCCTGTACTGTGCTTTACTAGCAATTGATACAAAATCAATTAATTAATGGAATCAGTTGAATCTAGGGATATGTTTCATCTGTGGGTTTCCACATATTTGGCTAATACATTGATTTTGTCCAGCAATCTGATGCTGGACGGTTATACAAGTGTTCAGTTCAGAAACGGGGTTGAAAAAAGGAATTATGGATATTGGAAAAATAAAAAGTCCAAAACATTTTGTTTTCTTCTTTGATTGAAGGGAGATCTATGATTAGCTCTGCAGAAGCACTGATATTGTCTCTGATTAGGTTTGATGCTGAGAAAGAGAGAAACGATCTTGGTTCAGCTGTGCATTACGGTTTACCATAGAATTCAGAAGTCCCCATGCAATTTGGAGATTCAGCTATTTGCTGCATTGATATAGAGGAGGAACTTGCATTGCCTGTTGTCCCCTTATTTTGTCCAATTTTTTGTTAATGACAGTTTCCCTAAAGACGAAAACACCAAGTTCCGTTACGAATAGATTGATGTCTAAAAATGGTTCACAGTATCTCATCCAAGCTTGAAAGCCTCTCTGTCTCGCTCTCTGTGTAAATACGCCACAGAGTAATGTAGCAGTTATCATCACAATATGTACAAATACATTTATGCAGTCTGTAGCATCTCTGTGGTTATGGCAGTTAAGTGTCTATCATATTTTTGTCTCTGTTACCATCGGCGGCACTTGTGCACAAAGTCAATAGCTTAACGTGGCAGCAACTCGTTTTCACAAAGCAGGTTATATGCAGCATGAAGCCACACTGTTTCATGTGTGTCCTTCACCCAACTCATTTCACAGGTATCAGACAAAATTTCACCATATACGTGTACTTGCTATCCTGTTCATAGGCAAAAGGGACTACGGCAAACAGGACAGGGTGAGGCATGTATCGACAATTGAACCTCCACTGGTTCTCAGCACACAGTACAAATCCTTCAGAATCAACATGCTGCACAGATTGAGACCAACCACTGAGATTCAGTTGGGTAAGTAGAATTTCTGCATTCCAGCCTCAAAAAAAAAAAAGAAAAAAAGCTCTGGTAGTTTGTGCGAGGAAGAGTTGGAAAAGGAAAGTCGCATCTTTAAGCCTTTCACATGATACACTGTACAGTATGTTTATGTAAGCCCTGGTTTAAGTTGAGCTTTTCTGCTGTCAGTGATGAGTTTTATTGAGTTACTTCAGACACTCTTTAAAGATGTAAAAGTTTCAAGCTGTAATCTGCATGGGCAGCAATTTTCATACAGGGCCAGCATGTCAAGGCTAATCGATGCCATTCGAGGCTATATGACAATCACTTACGGACCTTTGAACCTGAAATTCCTTGGTTGGGTTTGAGGCCAGTGCCTTGCTGCTCACCAACCCCTCCGCCACACCACCTGTAATCTCCACTGACTCACCCGCAGGAGTGTCCGGGGACAGGATTGAGATAGACCCCGTCTCCCAGCCCAAGACCACGGCCGCCAAGTTCTGGAGTAGCAAGCAGAAGGCAGTATCCATTGACACGGACCGGCTGGCAGCCTGCGCCATTACAGATGAAAAGCCCTCAGGTGAGTCAGTGTGGAAGTAAAATGTGCAGCAACCATTTTTTTCCCTTCACCAGTTTACCTGTCAGTCACTCAGGGAGACACATGAACGCTCCCGCTGAAAAGCTTGTCAATCTCAGCGTCTGGATTTCATCCTCGGATAGCTCTGAAAATAACATGAATGTCACGCCAGGCATTTGTCCGCCTGCACAAAACATGATCTGATAATTAGCGTCGTCTGACGAATTTTCTGGTTGACGTGTGAATCTCTTCAAAGGAACAAAATCGAATCTAGCCACAAGTACACTGCTTCACTCGGGTAGATGTATGCATGTTGCATTGTGCAAGTAAGAAATTTTTCAGACTGAAAACAGTGTTACTTAAAGGGAGAATCTTTGCTCTTTCATCCTAAAATTTTCCAGTTCCATGATCTCTTTTAACAAAGTGGTATAACAGAATTTTATGCTATAAATCCATTAAAAAGTTAAAAGTGCTGGTGGGAGTATTTTGGAGATATTTAGTATGCTGCTACATGTACTAATAATAATGAAATGCTGAATCAAATGTGCGCATTTACTTAGCAAGCACTACCGCTTGATTGCTGCCGATTGTGAAAATACTTGCCCCAGTGTGTTTATCAGTAATAAACCTTCGACAAAGAAATGTGTAATCGTGACAAGTGCCACTGGTTGGGTTGGCCATGGCTCCACGAAAAGAAGGCTTATTTCTCAAAGCTTCTGGGCAAAAGAAATCACCACACTAAGTCAATATTTTGGTTGGGGCACCGGTACACTGACAGGCATCCAAAAGCAATATCGATTGTGTGGTAAATTTTAGCTGGTAACCAGAAGAACAACGTACCCAGGTCGTTATCTAAACAATTGTTGGAGATTTAGATTGAGTGCGTGAAAAACCAATCAATGGCAAATTTTTCCCCACTGCGGCGGAAGAGCGCATGCAAATTTTCCGTGCGAAACTGGATACTTTGAAAATAAACATCAGTGTGGTATTCCTCTCCATCCAAAATCAAAGGCCTCCCATTTTCAGAATTACAGCACTGCAGTGAGAGGTTGGGGGAATGCTATTTGGAGGGGTGGGGAACCACCAGTCAGCCCCCTAGTCAAGTCAACATTGTCGCAAGCTCAGGTTACATTGATGCCCACCACAAAAGGGCAGCCCCGACTTCAAGATTTTGGTCATAGGTTTTTTTATGGGGGGGGTGTTTTTTGTTTCATTTTCTTCTGCTTTAGATAGGCCCGCTCCAGAAACGAATTTCACATATCTCAAAACCAATCAAATGGGCTTTCATATGAGATACTCCTGACAAGTGCAAACATTGTGTCAGGCACACCTCCAATTTGAGGAATGCCATTTTTTTTCCCATTAATTGTGAGGGGTCCTTGTCGCCTGTGCATCAGTGAACGCGTGTGTCGATGATCACAGATGCTGTCACTTGGGGCCCCCCATCCAGAATTACAGTCACAATCTTTTCTTAACCTGAACCCATGTTTGATCCCATACGTCATCCCCTGGAAGAAGTAAATATTCTCATTCGAACTTTATGCTCAAAATTTTATAAGAAATCACCATTGCAAAACGAGACCATTTGCAACCAAAAAAAGAGGAAGTAATTCCATGCTTTGCTTTCTCTTCCGATTGCATTGCCGAGATTCTGCTGATCAATTGAACCACAGTTTCACTTCAGCACAGGCCACTAGTTGAATGATTCCCACAACCCCCCCGCATATGTGGTCGCAGCCAAGCCGCCAAACTAATCAACGTGTGGCTCTGCACAGTTTTGATCACTTTCTGTAATGATTTACAGGGAGCGGAATGAGCGAACCCAGCACCGTGACAGGTGTAAACAAAGCTTACTTCCCGCTGCACACAGGAAAGAGTACAGGCTCCTCCTGGCATACTTCCTGTGCTTTTGTCATTCTGTTTAGCTTGTAGTTTTTAAATTAAAAAAAAAGGAAAAGAAGAAAAGAAAAGAAAAGAGGAGCCTACCTTGCAGTATCCACTGTGCAAACTATTTATCAGCAATGTATTATCATCGTCCTACATATTCCAGTTCTTTTTCCAGTGCACATGTACTTCTCAACTCGGCCAAATGTTTTTCTTTTTCTGATTCGCCTTTCCAAAGTGTATTTTCTGAAATGTTTCAGTACCATTGTGGTTTGTCAAAGTTGATGACAGAAGGTTATTTTGGACTCATGGTTTCAGTGAACTCTGTTTCTTACAACAAGACATCATTTTGGAGACCTTCGTGTGTCATTGTAGACTGTTTCTTGCATTGATTTTTGAGGGGACAAATTGCCCAAGATTTAGATGCAGTTGACCTGACTTGAAAGTTTGGAGCAAGAGAGAGGCATCATGAAGGCATGGTCTAATGCCATTCGTCCTCCCCCACCCCTTCACCACTCACAACTCATCAATCGCTCCGTGCAATATTAACCTGCGTGCCTTCTTCATTTCCTCCAAGGCTCGGCAGTGTGCTCTCTTCCCACTGCCTCTCTATCTCCTTCCCGGCCTCAGGAGGTGACCACTCCTCGGGCAAACACGGCGCTCGTTCTCCGGGGCGTATCGCGTTCCTGGCCTGCCATTTTTGCCGACGATACACCTGAAGTGCAAAGCAAATATTTGGCCGGAGGAATTAAGCAGTTGCCAGCACGCAATGTTATGATTTCTACCAAAAAAAAAAAAGAAAAAGAAAAAAGAGAGGGAGATGTTTGAGGGAGGGAAGAACAGAAATAAAAGATGAGGCTTGGTTGACCTAAAAATGTACAAAACATTGCTATTTTATCTTGTCAAAACAGACGGACTGAGATCATCTTTCTTTTTCGGGAGAAAACATTTTCCCAAACTTTTTATATCTACCTGTGGGATTCTGTGCTTTAAACCTTCTTGATGCACTTGTGAAAATGGAGGCAAATCCTTCAGTCATGGGCAACGGGACCACACATGGCATGTTTGGGGTGACGTTTGTCATTTTCTCTTTTTTCAATCTAAAAAGACTTTGCACATAGTTCCATGCACATGTATTTTTTCATTCTGAACCCTGAAATTTTACTTCAGTGGATCGTACATTCTTTGGTTGGGTTTTAAAATGTGTCTTTCTAATGGTGTCCCAGCAAAATGCTCCTGTGAACTGAGAGCCACATGGACATCTTGATTTGCATTAGTTCAGCATCTCGTGCCTTTTCTCAGCTACTTCTGATCTTCAATACATACACTTGGTTGGACAAAAACACACTGGAGTAGGATCAGGACCTGGGACAGCAGAACACTTGATGATTTTGCATAGTTGCTAATTTCCCTATAATATGGTCAAAAATTAATGTACGTGCCAGTTTTGGAATTAAAATGGACACTGGGTTTTATCTTCGAACAGAAATGAGTCTATGGCCTCAATCAAGATATAGTGTCCACACTGATACTTACTGAGAACAGGCTATGGAGTGCCCTAAACATGACAAAAATGTAGAGCAACCAGAGAAAACACTGCCGGCGTGACGGTAACTTAACTCGCCCCTTTACAGTGTTGGGTGATCTGTCCATTTCGGATGAGGTAAAGGAAAACTTTTATGTTGAAATCAAAGGCCACTAATATCTGACTTGGGGTCTTGAATGCCTCCCTAGACATCTGCTAGTTAATGCAGCATGAATGAGATGGTAAGGCCCATTTTGCATGCATACCCCATCATTTTCCTGCTGTAACAGGTATTTTCGTTTTTTTAATTTTATACCATCAAATATTGGTGGTTTCACTGTGATGTCAAAATGAATAAATCATCAGTGAAATATTGCTTCATATCAAAGGTCACTCTTGCATCAAGGAAGCCAGCCAGTGATGACTTGTGGAGGTACTGGTGTAACAATATCGCTGTCAATTTGAATGGTTGTGATTTTTATCAACAGGTGTCCCCAGAGCCGAAAGATGAAGCATAAAGTCTCTTGGCACACTGCCACACAGAACAGATAGCAACTGAGAAAGTTTGCCTGACTAACTCTTCAGTGTAATTTACTACCTTTAAATCTTATCATCGTGCAGACCTGTTACAAGAATCACTTTCACCCCTCTTTGTCATTCCACAATGCATACAAACTCCAAACTGCACCTTAAAAACTAACATGCCTTCACAATTAGAAAAAAGGCTTGAAGCAATTATGATTTTACATTTCTCAATTGTAGGCAAGACCATTTTCCGCCTGACTTACAAGAGTGTCAGCCACGATTTCAAGCACCGCGACTTTGAGACAGACCATGCCACGGCCAAGCACATTGTGACCAAGATCAACCAGATCCTGGAACTGCGAGCCAGCGCTGTACGCAACGATTATACAATATGGAAGGATCGGCGACATAGTACAAAGAGACACCATGACAAGTGAGGCTCCAGAAGAAGCTTAATCAGGGAAAGGGGGGGACTACTGTTTATGACATTTGTGCAGCTCTGGATCAGTGGGAATCAGGAGAAACACGTCTTAAAGAAGCAACAATGTTATGTTATGTTATGTTATAAACTCCAACAGGGGCATGGTAAGAGAAACAACTTCTTTTTTTCCTCAGCAAGTAGAGTTCTGAAAAAGTACGTTTCATTGGGTAGTGTTTTGCTTGCCACAAAGTAGGGTATTTGTAGTGTTTTTCGCTGGTAATCTGTCCCAGTTGAATGCTACTGGGGATAGTAGGGTCAGAGTTGAGCTCCATAGTTGTGGACCAAGTTCTGTCCATGTTTTCTAGCTTGTTAAAGAATGAAAGTGTGTAGTTCATGCGATCATGAGCATGAATGCACAAAAACACTTGGCATAAAATATCCACATTTTTGTTGAGACTGACTAGAGATTTTGGACTGAGATTTTATGTGTTTTGCATTTCTATTGTATTTTTGTCATTAAGAATGGACATGTTCTAATTGAGTTGTGTTTCGCCCAATCCCAAAGAGCCTGATTTGTGTTAATTTCTTATTACAAAAAGTGTTACATGTATAGTGTTGTTTTATGTTGAAATAACATACAATTCTGGAATTTCTGTTGTCCCATTTTCAAATCCAAGTATAAGAAGTACTGTCAAAGGCAGGAGTTTCGCTTTCATTTGGAAACAAAGAATTAGAATAAAGTGACATGTTTGTGAGAAATTTTAAGCGAATCCTTGTTTCCTCATACATGTATATGTAAGTGTTCCTCTTGGAAGTTAAATTTCATTGGAAACTGGGGAAAAAATGTATGTATATGCTCCTCTGTAGGAAGTATGATTGAAATATACAAAGCAGAGGCATTGGTATTACAACGGATGTACATGGATGCGTGTCTGTTTAGGCATCCTTTCTCTCTTAGCATGAATGTACTTAACTTGTGTGCACTATGTGATTGTGTGCACATTTACATCATGTAAAACATTGAGGAAATAATGAAGTACAGCCAAAATGCAATTGTTGCAACAAAAATAAACACTTCGTAATATCAGTATAAAGTATGTGAGTTGACTGTGCCTAGAAAATCTGTATTCTGTGTCACGACACTTAAAACAAAGTAACACGTAAAGCAGACATACAAGTACATGTATGTGTTTATATGTAAACCAAATATAAAGGGGTGCACAGAATGTGAATGCGGAATTGTTGTCTTGAATGTAAAAGGAAAAACAGACTGCAGCTGAGGTTTCTATTTCACGGGTTGCCATGGTTTTGGCCCATCGTTGTCAATTGTTCAAGTTTGCCTGAAGATGATGACTAGCTAGTGAGAAGCAGAACTCACAGGTTGTTTATTCTGATTCCATTTTCTCAAGCAGTACATCTTGCCTGGGCAAGGGGCTATCAGCAGTGGTTTGCGTCTTTTCCCACAAATAAATTGATGTTGGAATACTTTCAAACGTGTTTTGATTACATATTTGTGGTTAAATGAGCTTGTTTCATAAGTCAACTCAAACTACTGAAATACATTTAAATTTTTTAAAAGGATTTTTGAAATGGAATTTGTTCACAGTAAGCAATGACTAAATGGTCCAATTTCAAATCCAACATTCTAAAACCAACTTTAGCTCTGGTGTTTACAAACTGAGCTAAATTAGTGTAACAGATTTTTCAAATCAATATGAACCTGCTCCAAGTTTGGTGTGCTGGGAAGGAGCCATTATCTTCATTCATGCGAAATTGTTTTTTGTAAATGAACAGAAATTTTCATTAATACTCACAAAAAAGAGAAATTGATGTATTGGAGTAATTTACAATGCACAAGATCTGTTAGTATCTCTGGATGTCTAAATTCTTTGTGTAAAGAGATGTGCTATAATTAATTTTGTTTGCTAATAAAGGTTGAATAAACTGGCGATGCCAAGATACAGAATGAAAAAATTGATGTCTACTCTTCTGCAGCAAAGCGACTGTGGTCCTTTCATGGGTCTTGAAAGTCAAAAAAGAAAACAAAATGTAGACATTTAACAAATTCTCTTCCAGTTGAAAAGAAAGATGGTGTTAGACTTGATTTTCCAAACACCCTTCCCGAGGCTACAACCAAAGCTAGATTTGGGAATTCACCAATTCACTGAAACCATGAACAGGATGTTCCCGCGTGACATATGTGCAGTATGATTTGCGCCTCCAATTTTTAACAAGTTGGACAACAAAACTAACAATAAAAATAACTTTTATAAGATTACGATCACAAATTTTTATTGTAAATTCAGCAGTGTTTGACTTGAAACAGCTGTTTCGGGCACTGCAAAAATGGCACAAATGTGGGTGAAGTCAAATAGGCAACCAGCACATTACATCCTGTCCAAGTCGCGTCCTGAGGGCAGCGAAAGTTGGAAAGGATATTGTCATGTAACTGCAGATCATAGCCTATGATTCTGACTGAATTCAGAGGGGGGGGTAGAATTTTGGGATAAAATCCCCCATACTCCAATGCTCCTCTTAATTTGGGCATGAAATTGCATTTTGCAGAGTGACTTCAGCATATAATAATCAGTTTCATAACTTGCTGTAGAGAATGACTGAAGTTACACTAGTGAAACCCTCATTTCTGAGAAAGGATCGAGTGCATTACTTTTTTAAAAAGAATTTCTCATCACCCCTTAACCCCTTTCAAATGTCACCCAATCTTGGCTTTTGCAGCATGCTGTTAGTGACACATTAGGAGCCTGGCAGGATGACTAACGGAGCAAATTAGTGTCTTCAGACAGGACTGTGTTACATCTAGCATTTCGGAGCTTTGAGAGCTCATTAGCTCCTTAAAGGATATATCCCTGGAAAGCATGTTGTTACTCCAAGCTGCAAACTTTTCCAAATTTTCTGATTTTTTAGGTCAGTTCTGTCTTGTGCCTCATTTTTTAAACAGTTTGAGTCAGACCCACGCTATTTTTTTACTCTACTCCCCAATCCAACCATCACCTTTTACAAGGGGATTGAGCTTGTGTCTCAAAACTCTCCCAGCGCACAGCATCAGCAGCCTGTAATGCTATCTTATCTCTGCAGTTACGGGGAGACCCGCTGAATTTGGGAGGGGGATGGGGGAAGGAAAAATTAGCTTTTCGTCAGGATATTAACTGGCAACATTTGCCAGGGATCCGTGCATGCTTCTCATTAAATTTGGAACACGCAATCTAGCTTGTGATTTACACTCTCACAAGGTGCTCATCAAGCCAAGGTCTAAATATAGCTGATTAATTTGTGGTACCTTGCCAGCCAACAGAGGCCAAAGAACACCATGAGGGTGAGAGAAATTCTGCCCGCTCCCTGAAAAAAAAAAAAACGAAGGCAAAACTAAGGACAAGAGGATGCATGTAGATGCAACACTGTACTGTAACTGGAACTATTTCAAATGACAATAATAAATCCAGGCGGTATGCAAGCCTATCAACTAAGACATAAAAAGGCATGCAAGGGTTATCTGACTAACTACTGTAGATGTGCTTCTCCCACCAGCAAATAGGCTGCAGCACACTGGTGGGAATTGTTTTTTTTTATTTGGTGTATGGTGCATGTACGAAGATTGTAATTGTGACAGACACTGGTCACAACAGCACCTGCTCAGCTTGTCCCTTGCTAAATGTCCATGAATATATTGCACCTATGCCATGTTTTCCCACCAAAAGAACACCATTGCCACATGTTTGTTTAGAGCATGCCATCTCTCGTTTCTGCACAGGGATGATGACACATCAAAAGGAAACACAATGAAGCCAAAAATGGCTCTGGTGCATGGGTGCATAGGTCTGACGCCTCAAAAGTCCGAATTTTCAGACTTATGAGGCGTCGGAATAATGAGGCGTCAGATTTATGGGCAATTTTTTTTTCAGCCTCATAGTTTCGAATGGTGCATATCCCAGACATACAACTTTTCCTTGGATCAGCTGTTGAACTAAAGGAAGCTATGAACTAAAGGAATGCACTTCCTGCAATTCTCCCAAGCAGAGTTAAAGCCCTGTCCTAATGTTACGGCTATGGCTGAAACACCATATTCCCGTGGCAAGCAGTAATAGCCACTAGTCATAGATGCATACATGTATGTTACTCTCTGCTGCAGCCAGTCAAATTGGATGTGGCCTTCGTGATAGTAAATTTGACACAGCACTGTGGTTGAATTATAAATTTAAAAACAAAATATAAAATAAGAATAAGAATAATTACATTGAAATGGCCAGAATGATGAGTGTTAATTTCACAAACCTACATTTCTTTTCATATTCTTTGATTCCCTCATTTTCTGGATTGCTCACTTGGCATGACGAACATTGGTAGGATAAGGATTATTAGGATCACCCAGTTTGGCATATTGTGCCCTGAAGGCCACCGGTTAACACTTGTACAAGCCACTCTCAGGAAATACCTGAGTTCCTGCAGCTTCAGACTCTGAGGTGATCTTGTATTCTGTTCAGTGTCAAGGTATTACACCTGGGTTGCTGTGTGGAATGTAAGCTGATGTAGTCACAAAATCTAATGTCATACGTTTGACTTGGTATAATGTTACAGAGTTGACATTTTGAGGATCGCTGTACTCATAATGTTTCAAAAAGAACCCTAAAATGATCGAGGGCATACTGGGCTTTGAAATAAACCTAGAGCCACAAGAGGAACTCTAAGAGTGTTGGCAAGTTGGCAAATGCATATATCTAGGTTGAATAATCATTTTCAGTGCATTTTCAAGGGGTGATAAACAGAACCCACACATGGTGTTGAAATTGGCAGAAATTGGCGGAAATATCTGAGACTTTTGATATCAGCCAATGGAACAGCTCTGGCTCCAATTTCATTTGTCCTGTGCTGTATGATGTTGATTTCTCTTTCTCTCTCTCTCTCTCTCGTTTTCTGAGCTTGAGACGTGTGATTGTATTTGACAGGAGCGATTTAACATCTTAGCTAAAAATATGTGAACCAAGTCCCCCAGGACCCGAGGAACCTCACGCAATCAAGCTCATCAATTTTTTTCCTTCTCGGTTGATTCTAATGAAGATGACACTATCTGGGATAATTTGGCACGTTCCGGGATCTGTCCCTACTTATAATTTGGGCACGTGCTCCATATGATCTCAATTTCCTGTCAAGCATCGCCAGGCCTGGTCAAATCACTGCCACAACTTCTAATATGAGGGGGAAAAAAGGAAAAAAAATTACCAAACTTGACAGAAGTTTGGTTACAAACTTCTTCTTGACTCTAAGGGGGTTTGACACAAAGCCTGACTTTTTTCAGGAGGTGTACCGACAATGAAATTTCTGGGGAATGACATTTTGACACAAAGTTGTACAGCTTGGATTGGGGAGATTAAGGGCGACGCTTTAAGGAAATGCTCCCGGAGGAGCTGGATGTGGGATCGAAGGGAGGAAACATCACTTTTCTTTGACCAATTTGGCCGACTAATTCGAGCATGATGCTGACTTGACAGACACAATATACCTCAAGTGGACCTGTAATAGAGTTTGATTTTTTATCATTATAAATGGCTATGTAACTCTTTGTAGCTGTCAGAAGAGAGAGTCATGATAATCAATATGGCTTATTCCAATTAAGTCAGGATCACGTGACACACCATAAAGACAAACCTTTGCTGAGGAAGTGGGCTTCCTGATGTCACTCACTCAAATTTGATGAGAAATCCTTCTTCTGACAAATTAAATATTATTCTTTGAAAGGTGCCACCACTCTATCTGCACAGACATGTCCATTTCCCCAGTACATGTCTCTGCACTTGCAGTGACCAGAAAACTGCCAAACAGAAAATTGTAGCCTTCCTGGCAAACTGCCTGTCATTTAACTACGACACAACACAATAGTGACTCTACAACAGCACTTAAATGGAATGATTGAATATCACTGAAAATCTATTAAGCTATTCTCTCTAATTTATTCTGTGTTTGGTGTTGATGTCACTTTGTTCGTATGATCCTCAACTGCATAGTACTCTGGAAGGCATTGCTCTCTCACCAACTCAATGCAAGTAAAAAGAATTTAGTGTGGCCCACTTTTTAACCTTCAACCGGTGGAGAGATGAAATTTCATTCACTTTCAACCATTTTAATCATTGTCATAATGCCATTTCTCCCAATTCTCCCTGAATTAATTGTAACTTCAAGAGAAGTTGGGAACAAAGCAGATCCATTAGAATAAAACCTGGTCCCCAAACGACACAAAGGTATCAAAAGTGCACACAGCTGGGGGGAATAAAGAGCAAACATTTAAGAAGGAAGTTTAAAATTAGGGAAGGCCGCGGGGGAACCGGCGGTGCGAATATGAGACATCCACAGTCACAGCAAGAGTCGTCATCATTGTACGTAGATAGCCAAGAGGTCGACTGCACTTGGCAACAAGAAAAGGGGCGGGGAGGGGGCAAGGGGTCTACATTTTAAGTAGACACTCCCAATAGTTGCAACTGTGATGAGTAATGCTGTGGTGGTATAGGATACTAGACTTTCTTGGGTAAGGTTGTGCCATTTTATGGTACACAGTTTCACTGTACAGCTAATTAGTAATGGAAACAAAAAGCATGCTTCACCAGATTGCCAGATGTGTACACGCAACATTCACTTTTTTGTTATCTTAATCAATCCACAAGATCCTTTGCAGTTACTCTTCAAGCTTGCCTCACATTAAACACCACAACTGGGGAAAAACACATGTTGATTTTTCCTTTTTTCTGAGCAATTCAAATAGACCCCAAAGCTGAAAACAACATGAGGTTTATCATCACAGCTACCATGAAAATAGTTTTAAAAACACTTTTATCTATACACCTGCCACAAGGCCAAATGCAGCAAAGGTCATGCTGTGTTTGAGTGGCGTTGACTAAGGGCAAAAGGAATAGTGGATGGGCAACAATGTAGGACACACACTGGCCTCATATTTGACGTACGATTTAGATG